TGAATACTGGGTACACAAATAATTATACTATTCTGTCTATGCATTTTGAAAATTTCCATAATAAATAGTTTCTTGTTTTGGTTTTCCGAAAGCATGGGCGGTGGAGTCAACCTACCTGACTTCATATCCTAACCACTTAATGGCCAACTACTTGAGGTCTCTTTTTCTCGATTTATAATAATAGCACCTACCTCATTAGGGGTATAGGGAGGGCTGAAATCGATATGATATGCCAAGCAATTACAGCAGAACTGGTATACGTTAACTTCCCAATAAACCTTATCTATGAGGTCGCCTTTAACCCCACCACAGAGCTGCCAGAACTCACATAGGGCTGGGGAGTCAGACTCTTGGAGGGCACAGAGCCTTGTGCAAACCAAGACCCGGGAGAAAGGAGCAGTGACCCCAAGAGAGACTGACCCAGATTTGGCCGTGAGGTCCCGGTGTCTCCAGCAGAGTCATGGGTCAGCAGTGGCCTGCTGCAGGGTTGGGGGGCAGTGAGTGGAGCAGTGCATGCGTGGGACCTTTTGAAGGTCACCATTATCTTTACCTCCACTAAAGTTTGTCCCCAGGTAAACAACAGGGAGGGAACACAGCCCCACCCATCAACAGAAAATTGGATTAAAGATTTACTGAGGAGGGGGGAGGAGCCAAGATGGCGGAGGAACAGGACGGAGAGACCACTTTCTCTCCTACAAATTCATCGAAAGAACATTTGACTGCTGAGCAAATTTCACAAAACAACTTCTGATCGCTAGCAGAGAACATCAGGCGCCCAGAAAAGCAGCCCATTGTCTTCGAAGGGAGGTAGGACAAAATATAAACGATTAATAAGGGAGTCAAAAGAGCTACGGACGGAGACCCGTCCCGGGAAGGGAGTCTTAATAGAGGAAGTTTCCAATCACCAGGAAACCCTCTCACTGGCGGAACTGGGGGAAGTTTTCGGCAATCTAACTGGGAGGAAAAATTAAACAAGGCCCACAGATTATGTGCCTAAAAGCAACTCCCAGCAGAAAAGTACTCCAGACGCCCGTACCCGCCAGCAACAAGCGGGGTGGAACGGAGAGGAGCGGGCGGCATTGCTTAGGGTGAGGACCGGCCCGAAGACCCTGAGAGCAATCGGAGGGAGCTTTTTTAAACTGTGGGATAGCAAGGGACAAAATTAACTGGCCCGAACACACTGCCGGCGGTTCGCAAAACAAAGGGACTGAGAATCTCCAGAGAAGAGCCGGCCCATCCCCGCTGGAGGTAGGAGGCAGGGGGGAGGGGAAAAGGGCAAACTCAGCCCCTGAGAAGCCACCCCCTCCCACANCAGGTTGGGTACATGAGACAAGTGCTCGGGCCTGGTGCACTGGGAAGACCCAGAGGGATCGGGTGGAGAGGGAGGTGGGAGGGGGGACTGGGATGGGGAATACATGTAAATCCATGGCTAATTCATATCAATGTATAACAAAAACTACTGTAATGATGTAAAGTAATTAGCCTCCAACTAATAAAAATAAATGGAAAAAAAAAAAAAGATTTACTGAGCATGGCCCTGTCCATCAGAACAAGACTCAGTTTCCCCCTCAGTCAGTCTCTCCCATCAGGAAGCTTCCACAAGCCTCTTATCTTTATCCATCAGAGGGCAGACAGACTGAAAACCACAATCTCAGAAAACTAACCGATCTGAACGCAGCCTTATCTAACTCATTCAAGCTATGAGCCATGCCGTGTAGGGCCACCCAAGACGGATGGGTCATGGTGGAGAATTCCAACAAAACGTGGTCCACTGGAGAAGAGAATGGCAAACCACTTCAGCATTCTTGCCTTGAGAACCCCATGAACAGTATGAAAAGGCAAAAAGATAGGACACTAAAAGATGAACTGCCCAGGTCGGTAGGTGCCCAATATGCTACTGGAGATCAGTGGAGAACTAACTCCAGAAAGAATGAAGAGATGAGCCAAAGCAAAAACCACACCCAGTTGTGGATGTGACTGGTGATGGAAGTAAAGTCTGATGCTGTAAAGAGCAATGTTGCATAGGAACCTGGAATGTTAGGTCCATGAATCAAGGTAAATTTGAAGTGGTCAAACAGGAGATGGCAAGGATGAAAATCGACATTTTAGGAAACAGTGAACTAAAATGGACTGGAATGGGTGAATAGATGACCATTCTATCTACTACTGTGGGCAAGAATCCCTTAGAAGAAATGGAGTAGCCCCCATAGTCAACAAGAGTCCAAAATGCAGTACTTGGATTTAATCTCAAAAATGACAGAATGACCTCTGTTTCCAAGGCAAATCATTCAATATCACAGTAATCCAAGTCTATGCCCCAACCAAAAATGCTAAAGAAGCTGAAGGTGAACAGTTCTATGAAGACCAACAAAACCTTCTAGGACTAACACCCCAAAAAGATGTCCTTTTCATTATAGGGGACTAGAATGACAAAGTAGGTAGTCAAGAAATACCAGAAGTAATAGGCAAATTTGGCTGTGGAGTACAGAATGAAGCAGGGCAAAGGTAATGGAGTTTTGCCACCAGAATGCATTAGTCATAGCAAACACCCTCTTCCAACTACACAAGAGAAGACTCTACACATGGACATCACCAGATGGTCAAAACCGAAATTACATTGATTATATTCTTTGCAGCCAAAGATGGAGAAGCCTCATACAGTCAGTAAAAACAAGACTGGGGGCTGACTGTGGCTCAGACCATGAACTGCTTATTGCTAAATTTAGACTTAAATTGAAGAAGCAGGGAAAACCACTAGACCATTCAGGTATGACCTAAATCAAATCCCATATGATTATACAGTGGAAGTGACAAATAGATTCAAGGGATTAGATCTGATAGACAGAGTGGCTGAAGAACTATGGACAGAGGTTCGTGATACTGTACAGAAGACAGGGATCAAGACCATCCCCAAGAAAAAGAAATGCAAAAAGGCAAAATGGATGTCTGAGGATGCCTTACAAATAGCTGAGAAAAGAAGAGAAGCTTAAGGCAAAGGAGAAAAGGAAAGATATACCTATTTGAATGCAGAGTTCCAAAGAATAGCAAGGAGAGATAAGAAAGCCTTCCTCAGTGGTCAATGCAAAGAAATAGGGAAAACAATAGAATGGGAAAGACTAGAGATCTCTTGAAGAAAATCGGAGATAACAAGGGACATTTCATGCAAAGATGGGCACAATAAAGGACAGAAATGGTATGGACCTAACAGAAGTAGAATTAAGAAGAGGTGGCAAGAATACACAGAAGAACTATACAAAAAAGATCTTCATGACGCAGATAATCACAATGGTGTGATCACTCACCTAGAGCCAGACATCCTGGAATGCGAATGCAAAGTCAAGTTGGCCTGAAGAGCATCACTACAAAGCTAGTGGAGGTGATGGAATTCCAGTTGAGCTATTTAAAATCCTAAAAGTTGATGCTGTGAAAGTCGTATACTCAATATGCCAACAAATTTGGAAAACTCAGCAGTGATCACAGGACTGGAAAAGCTCAGTTTTCATTCTAATCCCAAAGAAAGGCAATGCCAAAGAATGCTCAAACTACCACACAATTGCACTCATTTCACACGCTAGCAAAGTAATGCTCAAAATGCTCCAAGTCAGACCTCAACAGTACATGAACTGTGAACTTCCACATGTTCAAGATGGATTTAGAAATGGCAGAGGAACCAGAGATCAAATGCCAACATCTGCTGGATCATCGAAAAAGCAAGAAAGTTCCAGAAAAACTTCTACTTTATTGACTATGCCAAAGCCTTTGACTGTGTGGCTCACAACAAACTATGGAAAATTCTTAAAGAGATGGGAATACCAGACCACCTGACATACCTCTTAAAAAATCTGTATGCAGGTCAGGAAAGAACAGTTAGAACTGGACATGGAACAACGGACTGGTTTGAAATCAGGAAAGGAGTACGTCAAGGCTGTATATTGTCACCCTGCTTATTTAACTTACATGCAGAATACATCATGAGAAATGCTGGGCTGGATGAAGCACAAGCTGGAATCAAGATTGCTGGGAGAAATATCAATAACCTCAGACATGAAGATGACACCACATTTATGGCAGAAAGTGAAGAAGAACTTAAGAGCCTTTGATCAAAGTCAAAGAGGAGAGTCAAAACGTTGGCTTAAAACTCAACATCCAGAAAACTAAGATCATGGCATCTGGTCCCATCACTTCATGGCAAATAGATGGGTAAACAGTGGAAGCAGTGGCAAACTTTATTTTCTTGGGCTCCAAAATCACTGCAGATGGTGACTGCAGCCATGAGTTGAAAAGATGTTTGCTCTTTGGAAGAAAAGTTATGACCAACCTAGAGAGCACTTTAAAAAGCAAAGACATTACTTTGCCAGCAAAGGTCTGTCTAGTCAAAGGTATGGTTTTTCCAGTAGTCATCTATGGATGTGAGAGTTGGGACTATAAAGAAAGCTGAGTGCTGAAGAATTGATGCTTTTGAACCGCGGTTTCGGAGAAGACTATTGAGAGTCCCCTGGACTGCAAGGAGATCAGTCCTGAATGTTCATTGGAAGGACTGATGCTGAAGCTGAAACTCCAATACTTTGGCCTCCTGATGCAAAGAGCTGACTCATTTGAAAAGACCCTGACGCTGGGAAAGATTGAAGGCAGGAGGAGAGGGGATGACAGAGGATAAGATGGTTGGATGGCATCACTGACTCAGTGGACATGAGTTTGAGTAAACTCTGAGAGTTGGTGATGGACAGGGAGTCTTGGCGTGCTGCAGTCCATGGGGTTCCAAAGATTCGGATACGAGTGAGTGACTGAACTGAACTGAATGATGACTGTTTGTGTTATGGATACTGGTGCTGATATTTTTCATTTTTTAGATGTTTAATACTAAAACTACTCAATAAAAATAAATATGTGTAAAAACAGGGTTTGGTAAGTCATAAAAAATTATTCCATAGATTCAGGTGCTTTGACCTTTAGAATACTTATGTAGATCTGTTATATTTGTCCTCTGAAGGTTAACTTACCTTATCTTTGATTTTGTCAGCTCTAGCATCCAAAGGCTGGGTTTTGTTTTGTTCCTGATTACATTTTCTATTTCCTCCACCTGAGCTTATAGTTTTAGTTTGTCCCACAGAACTTGAAGCAGGAGTGGACAGTACAGATGTGTTGATACCAGATACAGATGATGTACTGTTTCCATTTATTGATCCATTTACACCTTGAAAGTTAAAATAAATATGTTTATACAAGAGAATGTTATTCAGCATAAAAAGGAATAAAATAATGGCATATGCTACAATGGGGATGACTTAAAAACATTATGAAAAGTGAAATAAGCCAGACACAAACTGTATGATTCCATCTATATGAGATATTCACAACAGGTACATATATAGAGAAAAAGGGCAAGTTAGTGGTTGCCAGAGACTGAGAGAGGAAATAATAGGGAGAAACTGGTATGAAGTTTCCTTTTGGGGTGATGAAAATGTGTTGAAACTAGATAGAGGTAGCTGTTGCACAACACTATTAGTGCTTTAAATGTCACTGAATTGTTCTGATTAAAATGGTAAATTTTACATTTATGTGAATTTTACTTCAATTAAAAAAACTTTAGAAAAGTAATTAAATGCAACTATTCCCTCTTTCAGGGCAAACTCCCAAACATCTACTTAAGTGAAAAGAAAGATAATAACAAACCATCAAAAATGGTATTATAGTTTGCAAATGTATTCTAAAAACAGTTATCAACTATGAAATATTAATGAAAATGTAAAAGAAAAAAGGTGTGCTAACATAAATTTAATGCTTAATTACAGAAGAAGTAATATATTTTATTGAGCAACATAAGGGAGGTAATGAGATACAGAGGAAAAGCAGTGGAGCTGGGAGTTAAAACCTGGGTTAAATTCTGCTATGCAATGTCAACACGTAAACAGTACTTTCTTGAGTAATTTATTTAATCTTGGCTGCAAAATATGAACAGTTTCAATCTCGCAGAGTTATTATAAAGATTAAGCAAGAAAATGTGAAAGTGTCTAGCACAATGCTTTATAACTGTTTCTAAATCTGAACTCTACTGAAAATGGTTGCTGAAATGAAGGATAATACTTCACTCAAGTTAACATGGATACCTTTTTCAGGACCATTTCGATTACTTTTTCCAGAAGTTCTTGAATGGAATGAAGAAGAATCATGATTCTGGGCTGGAGGAGCAAACAGTGGTGGAATTCCCAGTAATGGTGGAAAGAAGGTTGCCCCTGCACGTGTATGAACATCTGTTGTTCGCCACCATTCTGCACCTCAAAGCCAAACACCAAACAAGCAAAAATATTTGGGTTAACTTTCTAGTTAATTTAACAGTGCTTTTTATATTTTATTACTGAAAAAAAGTTTCAGGGTTTATCTTGGAACAGAATTGCTGAATTACTCATAGTTCTGATCATCTTTCTAATTATAGGATAACTGATTAGAAGTTATACATTCATCATTCTGCTCGTTGAGACATTATCCAAGGTTCTTCACTTAGCAGCTTCTATTAATTCAAGTTTATGAAGAACAAGGGTAGTCTATAGTTTTTAAAATAAAATGGGAACATTGAAATTAATATTAAAGAACTATTTAACTCTTTGATGACTTACATCATAATTTTTCTAAATTAGCAAAGAAAGACTATTTAAGATTATTTTAATCTATTTTAAAACCCTAGAATGTAAGGCAACCATCTACAATCTATGTTAAGAATTTCCTTAAATTACATACAACAAAAATCTGGCTTTCATAAATCTAATGGTTTAAATAATAATATAAACACCACTGTAATTCAGCATATCTTGAATACATTTATGGAAGAAAATGTCTATATCTTTTGTTTTTGGTCTAAAAAATGAAAAGTGCTTCAAGAATTTCCAAAAACAAGTTGCCACATCAAACTATAAAAGACTTACATAAAGTTTTTTTCCTTAAAGTTAATTGTAAAAGCCTGAATTTTATTTATACTTCCTCTTACAAATTACAAATAATAATGTCTTATCATTGAATGCAATTTAGCTATTCAAACAGTGGCTTTTAGTTAAAACTGCTATAAAATGAGGAAAGCCACATTTTATAGAATATTTAGGGAAGGGTTAAGATTAAGAAGAAATCTGAAATAAATCAAAGGACAGTCTTATATTGCCCCATCTAAAATCTTGCAAAGAATACTTTCCAAATGGCTAACCAGCTAGATTACCAAGTCAGTTACTACCTTTCAGGCTGATCTTCCAAGAGATATGGTACATTTTTCATAGACTTGATAATCACAAAAAATTAGAGGAAAAATCCCAATAATAAAGTATGGGAAAATTCAACATGGTCAATGTATTGTATTATATGATCTTGAAAGCTTTTCTAAGAACATCTCTTCATTAAAACAAGATGTAAAGTTATGTGCACCTTCATTATCTAAAGACAAAAGTCTAGCTTAAAAGAAAGTGAAATGTTCATGGTAACTGACATTCTGAAATGTCTAAAAAACAGTATAAGCAGAAAACTGCAAGAGCTATTCTATTGCACTGCAGGAAGTTGCTGCTAGTGAAATGACACCAGTGTATACTCAGCAGTGCTTGAATGATGGGAACTGAACCAAGAATAATTATACAAAACTATCAATCATTTATCTACTGTTAAGATGAAAGAACTGTATTTAGATAGAAAGAAAAACTATGTTTTTGGGGCTTGTATCAGCACAGCTGGAATCTATTGCTACTTATAGGTTTGAAAACTTGGTTCTATTTAGCTGATAAAAAAGGAAATACCAGCTTCCTGAAATATTCATATTACTTAAAATAGAGTCTATAATTAAAGCAATATAGTTGAAGGTTCAGACTTTGTAAACAACCAAGAAATTGGTAAGGTAATCAAAGTATAAGACTCAAATATTTTAGACATAATCACTGTCAGAAAAAAAACATAAAAATGTACTTTAGAATGTCAATGATAAATAAGCACACAACAGAAATTAGAAAAAAAAACACAACTGGAAAATGTACATTATAAATTCAAGTAAATAAGATCAAATAAAAAGATGAAAATGGTAGCACTTCTGAAAACAAGCTTCACAAATGTCTAATATTTCATGGGAAATAACATAATTTTTGTTAAGTATGAATTTGTTTCTTTTTCAACTTAAGGAAAAAAAACTTAGTCGCAAACTACCTTGTTGATAAATGAAATTTACAAAATAAGGACTACATAAACCAGAACATGATGAATTTCTAAATGTATTCAAAGGCAGTAACTGCATGGTAACAACATTAATCATATTCCATTGAAAGAGTCTGTTATTTCAGAGGATATACTGAAACCCAATTTGAACCTAGAAGACAGCAGAATTTAAAAATCTCCCTGATTTGATAGAGCCAAATACTTCACAAAAATGTATAGTAATATAAAAATATAATGACTAAAATTATAAATATTTTAAAAGAACTTCTGAAGAAATACTATTTCAATATAAAATGGAAATAAGCTTATTATACTAATATCCATTAAGTAATTTTCATGTTGATTTAGTCACTTGAAATGCAGACTAGTTTAGAAGTGCATAATATTTAAAAATAAACTATTCCTGATTTAAAATTCCTAGTAATTTCTTCTTTTTGTGTTTTTATTAGGTGATTTAAAAATTTTGGCACTTTGGTTACCCTTTTAAATAAAGCCAATTATAGGCAATTTAAGTTATATAAGACGTACAACTTAAACAAATGAGTGTTCTAAAACAAAGCATATTCTCTTGGCAAAAAAGTATGCTTATACAGCCATACTGTTATTTGCCACTAAAGACTCTGTCTTGTAATTTTCTATTTATCCATCTTCTAAAAACTATAAGAAACATAACATAGACTATGTTAGTGTACTCCTAAGTGCTTAGCCTAGTGCATAGAACAGTTAGATGCTCAAAGAAGTTTGTATAATAAATGGATAAATGAATAGCTTATATAGATTCAGGAAGCTATAAAATTTTTCCATACAGTGAAAATACCAACATTACTGAAGTTGAGATGAGTAATTCTTTACAACTGTTAACCATGTTTTCAGTACAGAAGATAATTGATTTTAATAATTCAATAATTACATTGTGGTTTAGAAATGCTCAAAAGCAATTAATACTATATATATCAAATTATATCAAATATAAGAAATTGTGTTAAAACAATTTTTAAAATTTAAGATACTAGCAACTATATTACTATTACCTATTTTAATTTTTTATTTAGCAACCTATATTTCAGCTAATATCTACTGAATACTCACTCATCTTGCTAAGCAACCATGCTCAGAACTGCCTAAAATAAATTTCTATTAGTATTTTTAAAGCAAATGTCAAGACTTAGTTTGACTTTTAACTTTCTAGACACATTGTTCCTTCTCTCCATCCCCTTTCTGAATTAAGGAAATAATATGACTCAAAAAATGAGTCATATTAAATATATATTTAACCATCTTTCCATCAAACAAGATACTTGATTCCTTTTAAAGAAACTCTTAACAAGAGAAAGAATCATGATGTAACAATTATGTACTAATTATGTATGCTGAACATTGCATTCAGCACTAGACATGGATTATCTCTTTTAATCTTCACAAGAACCCTAAGAGGTAGATACTATTATTATTATTATCATCCTCATTATTCACATGAGAAACCTGAGGCTGAGAGGTCAGATTACTTGTTCAATCAAGGTCACACAGCTTAACAGGCCTGATTTAAATTCAGATCTACTTGTCTCTGAATTATGCTCTAATAGTAACACTAAATCATGTAACCTTAACTAAAATTTATTAAGATAAAATTAATCACTGGAAACACATTAAAGCTTAGACTTTCAAAATAGTATAATGAGAAATTATAGCATGTTTGTCTAAGTTAAGCTTTAATTGGTATCTTACTGAACTCCTGAATCCTCTAATCTGGGATAATTCTGGTCTCCCTCCCATGTAAGTGGTGCAAATCTATGGCTGTTCGAGTAAAACATGAAAAAAATAGAAATTTAAGAGCCAAGCTCATCTTACTTACAAACGCAGAGAAATGAGAACTCAAAATAAAAGTGTATTTATTCATTACAGGAACTGGACTTTAGTTTTTCACTGAAAGTTAAATAATTTTTTTTAAAAACCAAGTAAAAAGAAAAATTAATCAAATTTTATACTTCTAATACATATACTTTTCTACTTCAATAAAAAGCATGATAAAATTGGCTTAATTATTCACTTTTGCAACAGATGCCTTTTTTTCTAGCTTAGCATTTGAATAACTAGTTACAGTGCCACACAGCACACACAGTGTGTTTTATTATTTTGCATATGATAAAAAGGATTGCGCTAATTCTTGCACATGAACTTTAATATACCAGGCATAAGACTATTCTTTTTGCTCAGTTTAATAAACAGTTAACTGCTTGCACATTTCCAAGCTTTCTTCCTTTCCTTGAACACTGTTTGTAATAGATGTTTACCTGGAAAAGATGCTAGTTGGGGATGGGCGGCTAAGGCTGTGGGTGTACCAAGTGTCCCCAAACCACCAAATTCTGAATGCCCTGAGCTGGCTGAATGTAGACCAAAGACTGGGTGGCTGACCATTGGGAAGGCACTCGACACTGTGGACAGGTTAAACGGTTGATCCCCAGCTGCTCTGAATAAATGTCCTGGGAGGGAAAAAAACACACTTAAAGTTGTATTATAAAAACAGATGAGATTTATCTGATTTCAGCATTCACAGTGTGTTAAAATTTATAGTTTATCTATTAAGTTTCTAATATACCTTTTTTCTTTTGCATTTCTGTTCTTCAAACCCTGCAGAATAAGATGTTTCTAGAAACACGAATATACTCTAAAAATAAGTCAAATGAATGACATAATTTTATTTATAATTTGAGATTGAGAGTGATGCTTTAAGTGAGTAATTTTCATAAATTATAAAGTTTGACCTGCAAAAGTGAGGCAAACTTTCTGCCAATACATGTACATTAATATTTTATCAGGAACTTTTACTTATAAGAAGGAAGATGAAAAAACATCCTATTAATACAAAGTTGAAAATTAATAAAATAAATCCAGAATCCGTCACAAAGTCATTACTCAAATTGTCATATACTCTAGGCAAAGAGTTCCTAGTTTCCACGTGCTAGAATTGAAGCTATGGTCTCTATCCAACATCTTTAGGTAAGGAGAGTTGATGCCAAAAAGGATTATATTTCTAGCCTGATAAAGCAATACATCCAAGAACATAAGTATTTAATAAATAAACTTACTAATTTATTTCTAAATGCATTCGAGGGTAGTGATCAATACAAAAATCATTTTTAAACACTGTGATAGTAAGTTCATATTCAATTCAAATGTGATTTTTTTCAATCTCTACCTTTACTCTAAAGAGAATCTGGTACTGTCATAACCCGAGGTTGCAGCGTGAAACAATCAAAAACACAATGTATTTTTCATTTTTTGCAGGGATTTGGCATAAGATTTGTTAATACTTGGAAATCTTCTTTTTACTTCCAGGAAATAATTAAGTTTCCTGATTTGATAGTATGAAAGCAGAATATAAAACTCACACTCTAGGTTACCATAATTTACTGTGTGAAAACTATTATGCTCTGTGTCAAAAAAAATATAAGGCTTCCTTATCAACCTATTTACATCAGACCTGGCTATGCATTGCAATATAGTTTGATTAAAATATGTTTGAAGTAAATTAAAAAACGCAACTTAAAAATAAGTATACTTTTCATTATCATTTAGTTATCAACAAAATCTCTCCTCTTTGCTTTTTTACTGTCTGAAAACTAAGAGGAAATCATCAAAGAGATCAGAGTGTACTATCATTGACTGATATAAGCCCTAAATTCTTCACTGAAATAACACTGTATTTTCATTGAAGTAGTAAGATTTAAATAGATGATTATATCAAGTACACCTTACATCAATCAGCCTTCAAGGTAAAAAGTTCTGATTGAAAGTTGAGGTCCCACTATTACAAAGCAGTTAGTAGATCTTATAGGGAAGATACTCAGTCTTTACAAGCAAGGTCCACAAATAAAACTGTGAGGGAGGAGGGCAGGGAAGGACACAAACTTGGATATATTTTCTTAGTCAGTCAATCTTAGTTTTTGTTTATCAAAGCCTAAACAGAAAATCTGTGAATTTGGTACTTTTTATGTAATCAGAATTCTAGACTGCCATTAGCACTAAAATTAAGCCAAAACAAAACAGAGTCTGCTACTAGAAAAAAGGGAAATTATTCAAGTATCACTACTTTTAAGAGTATTGCTATGGCATCACAAAGATTATGTAAATTTTGAGGTGGGTGGGCAACAGAATTCTCAAAGACCCAGCTAATTCCTCTAAAAAAATGAGCCTATATATAATATTAAGAACCATTATTTATTTTCACATGTGATTGCCTATAAAATCCCTGATTCTCACTAATCAATTCAACTTCTGAAATCACATGTCCTTAATCAACTGCTTATTTATAAGCATACTGTGGTCAGTTACATTTTCCTCTATATTAGTTTTCTTGATAAATAAGATGAACTGAACATTCAGTTTGTAGATTTTAGAATCATTTTTAACTTGTATTTTACAAAATAATAATTCTTAAATTGTTTTGTCAATTATATATATGTATTAATAGCAGTGATTTAATACAAAAAGTTTTGTGAGGTAAACTCAAAACTATACAATATATTATAAAAACTCAGAACAGATTGAAATTATAAAGGAGCAGAAACTGATAGAAATATTTCTACAATAGAAGTTAATCGTTAGCAGGCAGATTCTTAGATGTATAGTCAGAACGTTAATTTTCTTATTGTGAAGAAATAAATGAGCTTAAACCTTGGAGTCTCATGAACCAAAAATATGAGTAATACAGTTGTCACTCTTGAAGCAATAATTAAGAATCAATTTTACACAGTTTGATAATAAAAAGGTTCTTTTTTTAAAAAATGTATTTAGTTTTTAATTGAAGGTTAACTGCTTTACAGAATTGTGCTGGTTTCTGTCAAATATCATGAATCATTCTTTTTTTAACTCTAAAAAGTGTGAATGCTAGAAAGAGCTGAATATAAGATTCCAAAAAAATAGGAGCTTTACTCACTGTAGATTCAAATGGGAAAAAAAGTAGTTTGTACACAGAGTTATATCTATGCTTGATAAAATTATGAAGAGGCTACCTTACTCTATTTTCTTATTCTTTTTTAGAAAACTCCTGGTAAACATAATTAAAGCATAGAAAGTATTCACATGACAATGGAATCTATAGGACCTACTTATTCCTTGTTGATAAGGTTCACTTTTGAATATAGTGAAGATCAGGCCCACATTATACTGATTATAATGATGCTATGCATTATTAAGAACACACATTAGAGACTTTCTTTGCTATACATGGATAAAGTTATACCACTGAAGGGAAATAATTTCACACTACATTTAATAATCTTTACTAAAATTTGCCTATATAGCAATATAGAAGTTAGTGATAAGAAAAAGTATATATTTCTCATTAAATGGCTTTGTAATTATATATATATTAATAATTTAAATATAATTTTTCCACACTTTTTATAAAAACAGCTACTAATTCCATGTAAAAACCTTCCAGAATTATTCTGTTCTTTATTCAAAAGTTTCTAGTAATTCAGACATTTCATGAACATATTTAAGTTCACGAACATACTTAAGTTCATATTAAGTATAGGTGCTATGCTTAGTAGTTAGCATACAGGATAAATAAGACATAATCCTGAGCCTTAAGGAACTCAATGATTTGAACATAATTTAGGTAGTGCAAGACTTCTTCACACCACAATGTATAAAACAAGTTAGTTAACATTATAATATTATGGACTGGTATTGTCACATACAGAAATCAGTAACAGATCCCAAATACCTAAACAATATCTTGTACAGAGTAGATATGTAATAGGTATCTGCTGAATGAATTGATTTATTACTCATTAATAACAGAAGGCGCACACACATGGGACTAATTCCAAAGACTAGGAAGCCATCTTGAATTTTCATTTAAACTTGCAAGGATCCTTCTTACTAGTTTCCTTTTGTCTTACACTTAAGCAGCCTCGAGTCCTAATTTTTTTTAATTACCACTTGGCCTTTTACTTATCCTTGATTTGATTTAGGCCACATGCTGGATTCTATCACACAAAACTCTTACCACTCCAAGATCTTAAACTCTTAAATTTTACTAACCACGGTTTCCACATTTCCATGTCCACATCTCTCAGCATGCCTTTTGGCCTCTCTCAGCCTTCTATCACTTGACCCCATCTATCTCCTTCCCTCTCAATCCCACCTCACCATCACTCCTCATTTACCTTGAAAGAAAATTCTTATACTTGTATGTCTACTTCCTCTTCAGTTCTCAGAATCTTTAATAACTTGCCAAGTCTAAGTCTTCCTTCCATTTTGTCTGTAAAGGAACTTAAGTTTTCCTAACTACTAGATTCCAATAATCTTTGCTCTTCTCATTCTTAACCTGACTCTCTAAATCTGGCATATGATTGCCTCTTCCTTATTAAAACCCATTTTCACCCTTAAGATCCAGGTCATGGAACTATTTTGATATTCTTAACTCTGTTTTTCAATAGTACGACTGTGTGCCTTATTGGATTTTGTTTTGTAAATATAAATAAGATTCCTAAAGATTTTGTCCAACCATCTCCTTCTTCCACTTTTATGCTTTCTTCCTCAGTCATTTCATGTACTTCCATTATTTTAACTATCACTTCTATACACATGAATTCTAAACTAGGATTTTAGTTCCTTGAGAGCAAAAACTGACATCATCTCAATAATCTGCAATACTTGGCATACTCTGAAATACAAGTACTTAATAAATGTTTTCCATTATTATATTTTTGGTCACATTATTTCTATAAACCCTCCATGCTTATACAACATGCTCTTTGACTTCTTTTGCCTTTAATAATCTTAACTATCCTTTCATAATAATTTCAAGATAATATATTCCAAGAAGTATCCCTGAATCTCCCAGATAGATACGTTTTGGACCCTCTTTGAACATTCATGATTATTCACAATCTTTTATAATACCATCGCTAGGGTATAAGGTTATAAAGGAATGAGCCATTTCTTAATCTTTTTTACTCTCTACAAAACACTGCAGAAAACAAACTGCTAACAGTTGCAGGGACAATACTTTATAATACCTGCTGTGGATAACTCTAAAAATGGTAGTTTTCAATTCTCTGTTTCTCTCTTCCTTTAAAAAGCTAGAATAACCAGAAGTCATTTTTTAAGAGATAAAAATATACCTCACTTTCCCCCTCTGTTTCAATTATAAAAAGCATTCACAATGTTATTAAAAGCTCTTTGGGTACTTAGAAGCTGATTTAATGACTCTATGCTGTGGCTTTAATCTTCTTATACAGCAGGGGGTGCTGTTTAGATTACACCCTTGGTTTCATTGTCAGGTTTCATAGCTCAGTTGGTAAAGAAGCTGCCTGCAATGCAGGAGATCCCTGTTCAATTCCTGGGAAGGGAAGATCCTCTGGAGAAGGGATAGGCTACCCACTCCAGTATTCTGGCCTGGGGAATTCTATGGACTATATAGTCCACGGGGTCACAGAGTCGGATGATTTTCACTTTCGCTTTTTCA